TAACACCTCTAGAGCAATTGGATGCAGAATTTGCCAGAGTCAAGGCATGGAGATCATGGAAGCTCTCAAGAATCCTCCATCAAGTTGAAACCATAGCACACTTCATCGACGAAGAAGAGTTCGTGGTGGAGTGGCTTGGGACTGATGAAATGGCAGAAGCAACAAGGCTACTAAAAATCAACCAGGTCTATACAATCAAAAGGAAGCAGCTCACTGCCAAGGATGCAATTGAAGATTCAAGTAATGATGATCTGGATAATGATGACGATAATGCTGACGATGCACCAAAGGGACCTCCTAGTTCAAGAGGTAAGAAAATCATCCATTCCTCCTCTTCAAGTGATAAAGAACTCAGGCAAGCCCTTGAGAAATCTAGAATGGAAACCCAAGGAGGAGGAGAATCCTCCAAAGCTCCCCAAAAGCTGCTATTTGCCACCATCCAGCAGGGGACTGCTCTAATAGATCTCAACTTGGAACCCCACCAAGATACATCACCTGAGCAGCTTGCCACATCAAATGAGATCAAGGATCAAATTCAGCATGATGGTGAAGAAGACATTCCTACACTGGCAGAGGTCTTCATCAACGAAAGAAGAGCAACCATAAAATTCATAAGCAATGTTGAGCTTCGCCTGCACAAGAGCTTAATCAAAATGAAGAAGCATTTTGATGAGCTGCTAGAAATGAGGTTCGCTGAAGTACACTGCCATCTAAAGAGCAACTTGATGATACAGCAAGTATTCAACTCAGAGCAAAAAGCACAGCTCAACATCTAACTCTCAAACCAACCAGCTCAAATGGAGGCGATTCACAAAGAGCTTGAAGCCTTGAAAGCCAGGGATGAAGAGCTAGAAGATCAAATCATAGAATCCCTCAAAGAACTAAGAAAACAAGAGCTAACAGGTTCCTCCGGTCAAGCAGGTGCCTCCCAGCCAATAGCAGAGGTCTCTACTCAGGTACCTGCTCTTCCTAATCTTCCCCCAACCTTGAGCAGACCCTTCTAACCATACAGACATATGAGGAGTTCATACAACACCTCAAGACCAAGGAGCTTCCTGTCATTCTCCATCTCTCACAAAAGTTGGTCACAAAGCAAGTTGAACACTCTGAGGCAATTGGTCAAACACGAACTGATGTTGCCAAACACCTCACTGACCTTCACCAAGCCACACAAGAGGCATTCCTAAAGCATGGGAGTGACCTTCAAAGACTGGGCCAGAATTTGGAGGCAACTAACCAAAGGGTTCAAGGGCTCGAAAATGAAGTCAGAGATGAGGTAAGAACAAATCTGTTGGACGTCAACAACTACATCAAAGCATTATCTATCAAGGTATATGGCTTAGATCCATCAAAGAGAGCATAAGAAGAAGCTGTTTCTGATCCAGAGATAGAAGCATTGTTCAATGAAAGCAAGACCCCTGCTCATGATGCCAAAAAGGGGGAATGGACAACACAAGCAGGCCCCTCATCTAAAAGATCCCTAGCAGCCAAGAAAGCAGCTGAAACCAGAATGAAGAACAAGCAGCTACAAGAAGAAATGAAAATCAGAAAGAGGAAAGCTGAAGAAGCCAAAGCTAAGGAGGAAACCAAGAAGAAAGCAAAAGAGGGAGAAGACTAGGATAGATCAAAAGTCTGAAACTGACTATAAACTATTGTACTCTAGACTTTAGAACAATGTACAAAAAAAATCAATAAAAATCAATAAACATATTTGGTTCTTATGTTGTATAGTTTTGGCATCATCAAAAAGGGGGAAATTGTTAGTACCCAGTTTTGATAGATTTTGATGATGCCACTATACTTTGCACGTGTACATTGTGTCTCATTTTATAGCATTCCAATTTATGTGACAAATGTAAATGTACAATTTTTGAGATTAAAGAAATATTACCGGAAAAGTAAAAACGCAATAAGGTAATTTTTATTTACCTTCATAGGATATTTAGATCCTACCGGCAAATATTATTTAGCTCAAAGATTAATTAAATGTCACAAAAAGAAAATAGGTTCAAAAATCATATACATTGAATTTACATGATTGAAGACAAATCTTGACCGGTATTTAATACCGAATCAAGTACTGAGGGCGGCAGCATGGGACGCACACATAGAACATACTTCAGCGCCCAAAATTATTGAAGACAAACGTTGCAGGCAATTAATGTTGATCAAGTACTGGGGTCCAGAGCATTGAAGTGCACACATGGGACTGCCTCTGAAGGGATACTTCAGCGGCTGAATTATTGAAGACAAAATACACGTCCAGAATCAAGCTCCAACACAAGAAGACGAAGAGCAAATCGTCCTCGCCAATATTCAACGGAAGAGATCAATCTATCCTAACCAACGGATAAGATTGATCAGCCAAAAAGCCTATAAATAGAGGCTGAAACGAAAGTTTCTAAAAAAGCTTGAGCATCCTAAGTAGAGAGATATTCTATTGAGCATTCAAGAAATATCCAGCAAAAGAAAAGTGACATTCTATCCACGACTCTCTTCTTAGTCTCTTGCTTCACTAAACTTCTTAGTATCAAAAGTTCATTGCCAAAATCCTAGAATTTTAGTTCCTAGTTGGAGGTTAGAACTTTCTTGTAACAAGATCAGAAATTGTTGTAAACACTTCAGGAGGACAGTTGTTCCCGACCTAAGTGTGGTTAGATAGGTCCGGAGTACCTTTTGATCCCCACTAGATCAATTGAGAAAAACCTAAAGGATTGAGTAGCTTGGAGTGGTGTTGTACTCCTCGTGAAACACCTTCAATCTAGGCCAGAGTTGTCAAGGCTAGATTGGCACTAAGTGTATTGGGCTTAATACATTAGTGAAATCCATCTGAAAGAGGGTGGGACTGGATGTAGAAGGATTACACCACCTCTGAACCAGGATATACTGTGTGTTGATTTATTTTCAGTCAACAAAGCACACACTGAACACTTCTCATAAAAGATTGTAGTTTGCGAGCAGCATCCTAAGCAGTAGGCTTAACTTGACCCTACTGCTTATCCTACTGCTTAATAACTCACTTTCTTTGAGATACAAGAGCTTTACAATATCACAACTATAAGGTCCGTTCCATTAGATTTCAGCAAATCCCACTTAAGGCATAGCAGTTGCCTCAGCAGTCCCCTAGTGACTACCCAACTGCTAAGCCCACTGCTCACTCAAAAGTGTTTCCTTTGAACATCTCCACTTCACCAGACCTTCAAAACTCTATCTCCAAGAAGTCTGTTCAAACTGATCACTGTAATTCAAAGTGGTAACCCAGCAGGTGCCTCAGCAGTTCCCTCAATATCACCCAACTGCTGAGACCACTGCTCCAGTAAAACTCCCACTGACTTGAACTAATGCACATCTTCAGAAAGCCCACATCATCCTGAGCAACATCATATAATCAATCTTCTCATACCTTCACTTCCACTTAAACAGGTGCCTCAGCAGTTCCCTGGTTACCACTCAACTGCTGAGACCAGTGCTCTCAATAAGATTGATTATCAATCTACCTTGTCATAGCATCAGAAAGATTTCCCACTCTAAGAAAGATTCTGAGTGCACTGTCATCATAACTGAGTATTTCGCTAGCAGTTTCCTCAGCAGTTCCTTGCTTTCTAGACAACTGCCAAGCCAACTGCTCACCTTACAAAGTCCAAACTTCATCCATCATAGAAAGTTGTTATACACCATTTATTTAAGAAGTTAAAGACTTCCACTGTGCATCTATAAATCTCCCAAAAGATTATATATCAACTCATCTAGAAGGGAAAAGTTTTAAAGTTGAAAAAGATTTAAAAGTCTATTCACCCCGCCTCTAGACTTTTACCTCTATCCGGGACCATCAAATAATAATATACAAATAATAATAATACTAATAATAATAATAACAACAACAAGATTCCAACTGAGTAGTATGATATTAATAAGTACTCTAATACTCGGTAGATAGTAGTACTGCTGCACATCGGGCGGGTTGGGTCGGTATCATAGTACTTGTTGTTCGTCAATAAACTATATACGAAGTATTTGTGTCATATACTCCCTATTACATATAAGGCTATAATCTTATAACATTACTACTTGGTCCAAAAGGTGGGAATCTCCCACCTCAGGAGCCCCCCACCCTGACCTGACAGAATGGTGGGGGAGTTAATCACTGTAACTCAGTCAGCAAAGCGGTGATAGGCCTTATACACGTGCGCACCAGAGATCCAGCCTTATTTCTGGTTCTGTATCATAGTACTTGTTGTTCGTCAATAAACTATATGCGAAGTAATTGTGTCATATACTCCCTATTACATATAAGGCTATAAGCTTATAACATTACTACTTGGTCCAAAAGGTGGGAATCTCCCACCTCAGGAGCCCCCCACCCTGACCTGACAGAATGGTGGGGGAGTTAATCACGGTAACTCAGTCAGCAAAGCGGCGATAGGCCTTATACACGTGCGCACCAGAGAGCCCTCCACACGGCTGATGCGGGTTTCGAACTTTGGTCACTTGGTCCAATTTTCCCACCACTCGACCAACTAAGCTACCCATCTGGGTAACTTATAACATTACTACATTTATATGAGACAGAGTGAGTACTACATAATACTTATATGGCGGGAGTACTAATTGGCTTATCCTTTTGCAATTTTAATCCTAAGTTTCGGCTGTTATCGTTTTTGGACCTGTAACTTTAAGCACTTGTAAATTTGGTCCTGTAACTAATAAGTAATAAATCTTTGTAATTTAAGGACTTTTCCACCGGAAAGTACACTTTCTGGCGGAAAAGTCCAACGCCGGCAACAACTTTTCCGGTATGCTATTGCCGGAAAGTGTACTTTTCAAGAGAAAAGTCCTTAAATCGCAAATATTAATTAGTTAGAGGATTGAATTTGAAAGTGACTAAAGTTACGGGACTAATAATGATAACGACCGAAAGTTACGGGATGAATATTGCAAATTTCACTATGGCGAAATCTTTTGTTTGTGAAAACATTGTTCACATACAAAACACGCATGTAGAAATGTGTATACGGTAAAAAGGTGTATAATCAAGAAGAATTGCTCATTTCATTAAGGCACAACAATGTCTAGATCGGCGCTGACACTAACAAGTAAAATGTGATTTAAGACTAATTTACGTCCCTGAATTAAACTCTTCTACTAATTTCAGAAACCCTAACGTTTTCTTTTGTTAAGAAAATTTAGAGTTGCAGCATGAATAAAGGAAAAGGAAGTTAGTTTGATGCGTGGCAGGTGGTCAGTAGCTAATGACCCTAAACTCCGTAGTAGAAAGCTATTGAAGAAGACAAAGGATTACAGCCAAATTCCGTGTTCGGTCGCATCATCATAGACCCAAGGGCGGGCATGTCTGACAAAACATGGTCACTTTTTGGAGGATTGTTTAGATGAAGACTTTTTTATGGGAATACAATTCCCAGCCTTCCCAGCCTTTTGCTTTACCTCCGTCTCCGCACCTACTTCTTCTAGCCCTGCCCTGCACTTCCTGACCATTGTTCACAACCAAGCTACGTCAAAACTATGCCAATGTACCATTACATTTTCTTTTTTATTTATACATATGACGAAAATAATAATGACCAATGAGAATGTTGCAGTTGAATTATTTAAATCTAAATTAAAAATGATATAATGATGTGGATCAATCAAGTGAATAGTAGGTACGGTACCTCATTTTTTAAATGGGTACCGGAGTTGTCACCAATAAAAATACCCTCCATGACTTTTATGGCATTTTCACATCACATATAACTACACCTAATCAAATCAAATTTAAACATATTCAATCACATTGGTTCAAACTAAATTAGACTAAACTAACATGACAATAAGATACATCACATAATAATACTTTCTATCCCACTATAATTGTCACATTTTTTCTATTCTAGTCGTACCATTAAATTTCTCTCATACCATATTTGATCATTTTTATGTGTCTCTGATTCATTCTTATTTTATTCTCACTTTATGAATTCATTATTAATTACATAAATCTACTTTTCTTAAAAACAACATTACTCTTCCTTAATTTGTCCCAATCATAGGGGACGGATGTGCTAATACAAATAATAGCAATTTGTACCAGAATTAGATAGAATAGATCAAATCAGAGTAGACTTAAAAAGAATAGAACAGTACAAACCTCAAAATTTCAAACCAGGTGAAAATATCTTTAATACTTTGATCATGGTAGTAACTTTAGTGACACTACATTCAATTTTAGACTACACTAATGTGGATTTTTTCCTTTTTTTTGTCCTCCAACTATTGTGTCAGATATACTTTGGTACTCGACTTTTAACTTTTCCATTTTTAGTCCTCAATTATTGTGCTAGAAACACTTTTAGTCCCCGGCTTCAAAGTTTCCCACATTTAGTCCCATGAGTATTATTAAATTGACACTTTTAGTCTTTTCATTACGATTTTGACACAATAAGTGGAGAACTAAAAATGTCACTAATATAATAGTTGAAGAACCAAAAGTGTCATTTCTATGAAAGTCATAGGACTAAAGATGAAAATTTTCAAAAACGGGTACCAAATGTGTCTCTAACACAATAGTGGATGACTAAAAGTGGAAAAGGTCAAAATCGAGTACCAAATTCGTCAATGACAATAGTTGGAGGACCAAATGTGGCAAAAACTCTATGCTTCATAACCATAATCATATTTTTGTCTACAAGTGTTATTTAAGTCATGTAGCATCTGTTCCTAAATCATTGTCACACTCTTATTTTCAGATGTTTTAAAAGTAAGTGTCTCAATCTATGTTTAAGAAATCGGATTGGGAAGTGACCCGGCTGCGTGACTGGGTCACGGGTCAACCCGAACCCGGTTGGGTCAACCCGGTCAACGTTATAAAACCGGTTAACCATTTAACAATAATAAACATATAATTGTGTACAAAATTAAAATAAAAGGTTGTTATTTCATAATAATCAACTAATAATAATACTTACTAAACACTTAAAAGTTAAAAAAATCTCATAGTGATCCAAAATATCATTTTGATCTTATTAAAATATATAATGATATTCCATGTTTGTTATTTTTATTGGACATTTATTATATAATTTGACATGATTTTTATTCTTAAACAAATACTCCGTAAGTACTATATAAATATATTGCATACTTTTTTTCTTTTTAGGGTATTTGAAATTGCATTTTTATTGATTAAAAATGCTTTAACATTTTTTAAAAATATGGAACAACCAAAACCGGGTTTTTTCCGGGTTTATCGAATTTTTCGGATCCGGGTTTGGATCGGGTTTTTCCAGGTTGTCCGGGTTTTTTGAGGTTTTTACCATTTCCGGGTTTTTCATTAATCGAATCGGGTTTCGGTCCAGGTCACCAGGTCGACCCGGTCGGGTCGGGTCGAGTCGTTTTTTAAACATACGTCTCGATTCCTTTTTGAGGAGAAATATATCCAAAATCAACCGTAATAAACTGACATGTATGGTAAAGCCATGGCGCCAAAAACTTATACTTTTCAGACCATGGCTACTAACATTTGTTAAATTTGTGAAACCTCTATTGAGACAAATAAATAGTAATGGATGGAATAGTATAGGGAAAACACATTTAACTAAACAAAGTCATAGAGGGTAGTTACTAGTTACTACATTGATCTTTGACTATACTACTACGTATTATAGACTTGTAGTATTATGAACTCGTCAACAAACGGGTCAATTATCGTGTGCCAAACCTTAGATTGAGGCACGAACCTGCTTGACAAATAACTCCATCCCTTCACATAATCACATGGATTCATGCATGCATGGATGCATGGATCATGGATGGATGAGAATGTTCAGGTCCAAACGTTCGGATATGAGACGCCGTCCGAACACCACCGTTCGGGACGGTTTCCGGTGGAATTTTTTGATGAAATTTTTATGGTATGTTCTTCATCAAGTCTAGTTTATCCATACAAAATTTCAGCTCAACATTTGATCCGGAAGGCCTTCAAATGAGTTTTTGAAGTTGACTGCATTTTTCTATGTATAATTTGGCGCAGTCAACTTCAAAAAATCATTTGAATGTCTTCCCAATCGAAATTTGAGCTGAAATTTGATATGGTGAAACTAGACTTGATGAAGAATATATCATAAAAATTTCATCAAAACATTACACCGGGAACCGCCTGAACGGCGATGTTCGGACGGTGCCTCTTGTCCGAACGTTCGGACATGATAAATTCTCACTCTCTCTCTCGATATATATATATATATATATATATATATATATATATATAGAGAGAGAGAGAGAGAGAGAAATGCTCATGTCCATCAGTTAGGACAGGAACCACTGTCCGAACGCCGTCGTTTGGGGCGGTTCCCGGTGGAATATTTTGATGAAATTTTTTGAGCAAATTCCTCCTCAAGTCTAGTTTATCTACGAAACATTTCAGCTCAAAATTCGATCTGGAGGCAGTCAAGTAATTTTTAGAAGATAATTGCATCAAATTAAACATATACAACGCAATTATTGTCAAAAATTAATATATAGAGAAGGGTTACTATACACCATATATAAAGAATAATAACTATACTAGCTGCATCACATTGATTCCCAAGATCAGACACTAGTATTAATGGCATCTTAATATACCCATCGTATATTTGTATGTACTCCGTAATCATTTTTCTTTTGAGATTGTTCTAAAATAAGGACATTTTCTAAAGCTAAACTCCAATAACTTTTTACTTAATTGTTTTTTGTATTACCTCCGTTCCCATTTTAACTTCCAAATGAGTTTGTCACAAAGTTTAAGATAGTGGATATTATGTGGTGGAGAGTTGTGCAGAGGAGAGAGATATGTGTAAGAAATGTTGTGAGCCACAAATTCTTTACCAAAAAGGGAAAGTGGAAGTTTTAATTGGAACGGACGAAAAAGGAAAGTTGGAAGTTTTTTTAGGAACGGAGGGAGTATTATTTTATACGCGAGTATTATTTTATTTTTTTCTCTGTATAACCGTAACTCAATCATACGGAGTATATGCTTCGTTTTCCTAAGGATGTTTTTACTTGCACTGTAATTCGTCCCAGACCAGACCAGATCAGATCAGACCAGAACAGTTCAGACCAGACAAGACTTGGATAGTTATAAAAATACAAAGAAACCAGATCAGACCAGACTAGACCAGCAAATTAAAGTCCAAGTAAAAACATCCTAATTCCACAACAAAATACGTAGTATACCTTTTACATTATCACATAGTAGAGCTAAATAGTAATTAGTCAATTCATATTTGTGTGCAACTTTATTTTAATGAAATAAATAAATGAAAAGGTCCCAATTTTTAGAAATTAATTCAAAAGATATACGGAGTATGAATTATCTTGATCGGAAAGATGAAACATATTTTTATATGCCTGAATGATAGAAAACCATCCCTCTGGCACCTAACATTTTAAAGGTTTTAATTAGTTTAATTTTTATTAATTTCATTGCTAGTTTTTTTATACTCCGTAATTTTTAATAATTAATTTTTATTAATGACTTAGTTTTATTATTTTAATAAACTAAATAATATTTACGAATTTTAAAAAAGAGAATTCCCCAAATAGGAGCAAAACATAGACAAAATGCAAAAATAGGAGTACCATGTTTTGAATAGGAGGAACTTTAGTGTTTGGACAAGTATACCCCTACCCAAGCCCCAACAACTTTTAATTAAATGTTTAATTCTTAATAAATTCGAAAAAAATCAAAAAATCGTAGAAAAATAATTAAAATTTTTATAAAATAATAATAAAATAAAAATTTAAAAAATAATATTTTTTTAAATTTTTTAATTTTTTTAAAAAAAATTAATAAAAAATAGTAAAACTCCATAAAAAAATTAAAAAAATATGGATGCCTTTCCCACCGCTTGTACTACCTCCCTGCACCACCACCTCCGGACGGTGAAAAAAAAACTCATTTTTCCTAAAAAATGCCTTTTTTTTTCTGAAAATGCCAAAAATATGGCATATTTCTCTTTGCGAATGCCAACATTTTCATTGTTTTCTGCCATAAATATGGCATTCGTAATGAACTTGGCATTTCCCCTGGTGCATGGAGGTGGTGGTGCTGAGGCGGCAGAGGCGGCGGTGAATTTTATTTTATTTTTTTGAGTTTTTTATTTTTTTTAAAAAAAAATCTATATTTTTTTATTTTTTGAAAAATAAATAAATAAATAAATTATTATTATCGAATAAGTCATAAATTAACTAGGTTAGGATTAAATAAGTCATATTTTAGAATTAACTAGGTTAAGGATATTAAGGGAACAAAATTAATGTTTACTCCTATCGAAGGAAGTTTTAAGTTTTACTCCTATTTGTGCAATTATGTTTATATTTACTCCTATATTGGGCAATTTCTAATTTTAAAATAAAAAAAGTAATAAAATGCAAGACAACTTAGATCTTAGATTGATAGTTTTCAATCATTCAAATTCTAAATCGAGAATTTTTCATCTTTGGATCCGTTACGTTTCATCAATTAATTTGATAAAATTCCTTATTTTTACGATCAGTTTAATGAAACTAGCCGAGTCGACTCACCTTTCTTCATTATAGGAATTAGATTTCTGGAGACTGGGAGGGATCTGAGATTTCTCCTCCGCCGCAATGGAGTCCAAGATACTCCCACTGAAGTACTCCTTTTCCTGGGACTGCATGTTCCCGAACCTCGGGTTCTCCGACATGTATTTGATGATAATTTCTTCCTCATCGTCGATGGAGTTTGCAGCCGCCGCACGAATCAGCGCCTCTTTCTTAAGAGCACCGCCGCTGCAGCTCTTCCTCCCCACCGCAGCCGCCGAGATGGCCGGTGACTGCTTCGCAAAGGGTGTCAAACTCTTCGCTCTGAAAGAAGCGGAGCCACCGCAAGAGATGAGTTGGAAGAGAACAGAGTTCCGGCTGAGTAACGAGTCTGCCACCACCGGATCGCCGTCTTCGTACCTCTGGGACGTGGTGTTGCTCCCGTCGTTGCACTTCTCGGACAGAGAAGAAGCGGTGGAGGGAGGAGACGAGTCACCCCGGGCCAACTCAAACCGGTCTGAAACACCGCTCTTATCAATGTGAGCCTTAGAGCACGTAGAAGTTATACTGATTTTCTCTTGGTAATCGTCTTCCTCTTGTTCACTGTGTTTGTGAACCACCTCTTCCGGCTCGGGATGTCGTTTAGAAGCCGGCGGCCTGCGTTTAGGCGAAAAGTCTGCTTGTTTGACTGGGTGGGCACTTGTAACAAGGTCAAACGGTGGGGCATTGTTGACTTGTGATTTTTCTGGTGATCGACAAGAAAATAAATCAATCAAATCGAATTGAATACGTTAAAGAAAAAGAAGACAGATTTCTTTGTCATTCAGGAAAGAAACAGGGGAAAGGAAAATTCACCGGAGGAAGGGTGAAAAAGTTCAGAGCCTTTGAGTATGTACTCTGCACCTTCACATGGGTAGATAACGTCGTTCTCAGCTAAGTCGTTCCACACATACCCATTCTTGTAGCTCCTGCCCACGTTTATAAATTTATTTGGATTTGGACACATTGAATTCGATCAAGAATCAACGAAGATATATGGCTACATGCGTACCTTTTGCACGACCAGGAGTAGAGTGAAAGCATGCCCTTGCCTCTTAAGACTGTAAGCCGGTCCATTACATCTGCATATATATATATATATATATATATATATATATATATATATATATATATATATATATATATATATATATATATATATATATATATATATATATATAAATATATATATAAATGAAGAATAATCAAGAATGGTTGATGGAGTTGGGTTAGAGAGATCCGGCCGTTTTGTTCTTCTCCTGGATTATAAAAATGAGTATATACAGACAGAAAGAAGGAAAGAAAATGAAAAGCAAAAGAGTGGACCTTTCAAGCGAAGGTGGCGAGTGGGAAGAAGAGCGACTTCCATGAAGTGAGGGTGGTCGAGGAGGCCGTTTCTGGAGAGGTAATACACAATTTGAACCTTTTGCACAAGGGGTCGGGGGGTGATCAATGCCGCCGCCGGCAGCGGCCTCTTCTCCGGAGGCGGACTGCCACCTCTTCCCCTCCCATTGGTGTCACAGCGGTGGCGGCCTGCACTAACTCCCGTCATCTCTTCTCTTCTTGATGATGTGACCGGTCTTCTCTGTTTAATTTCTTGACGCTGCTCAATGAATTAGCTTTTTTTTTATGGATTAGCTTTTGAACAGATCTGATCTGATCATAAATAAATCACAAAGAAAGAAAAGAGAGATCTGCCCTGCAAAAATGAATGTTATAATCGATCGATCAGAAGCAGCAGCAGCAGCTAGGTAGATAGGCTGCAGCGAAGCCAGCTTCTATTGATTTCACTGTACGTACGAACGTATGACTCGTGTATCTATGCAGCGTATAGTATAGTAGGAGTATATAGTTATGCAATTAATGAATTGGTACCATAGCACTGTAGATTTACATTTGTCGAGGGACAAGCTCTCGTACACGGAGGAGTGCATACCATACGAAGTCTATGCACGTTCTCGCTACACCAACATTATTCTTTGTTGTTCCAAAACCCTACACCCACCCATGGTGGAGCAGTAACTGATGATGATTCGGTCCGTCCAATGACTAGTAAAACAGAGACTCTATACAAGAGAAAATATTAGACCTCTTTTTTCTTCTAATAAATTAGAACCACTATCTATCAAGATGATCAAATGAAAATAGTAATCAACTATTAAAAAATTATGTAAAAAATAAGTTACTACGTAGTAACTAATAATTACAAACTCAAAAAACAAAATTATTTACTTATAAAAGTATAATAGTGAAACAATTATAAATTTAACAACCTAATAACCCAATAATATAAATTTGTTAAATCAATTACAGAAAGAACATCTAACCAGCTAAGTGTGTCATTCGATGTCCTTTTTGTTGGCAGAATTACCTTGAAATATGTATACTACATAATACTCCATATTACGGAGTACTAATTATTTTTGGGCCTTTATTTTTATTGAGCCCTGTGTCATTGCACTTGGAGCACATGGTCAGGGACTCAGGGTCGGCCTTATCCGTGCGCACAAGAGATCCAGCCCAACATGTAGGAGCCGTAACCTCCACACGGCTGATGCGGGTTTCGATTTTTTGTCATTGTTTAAAATTTCCCACAACTGAACAAACTGAGCTACTCGTTACACTCCTCTAATGTCTCCTAACCCTGCCTGCACCCTATTCGCTTTAATGAAAAAGAATTCTTAGCCTGAACAAGTGCTTTTGAACTTTTTTAAATGATTTGGGAAAAAGTGTTTAATAGTAAAAGTTAGTAGTGTTTGAGAAAAATGTGATTTTGAAAAGTAAAAGTTGGTAGTATTTGTTAAAATACGTGTTTTTTGTGTAATAGAAAAAGTAAAAAGCAGATTATATCTTTTAGATTTTAGGTATTAATTTAAGTAGAAGTTATCTTGAAAACACTTTTTTAACTTTTTAGAGAGTGTTTGCTAGCGTTTTTATTTTAGTGTTTGCAAACAAAGCCTTAAGGAGTGTTTGTTACAGCTTTAAAAAGTGATTTTTAGCTTTTGGCTTAAAAAGCTGAAAAGAGTGTTTTAATATGACAACTTTTGCTTAAATTAATCACTTAAAAGTTAAAAAACCGGAAGCAGATGGAAGGATGCTTCAAACTGTTTTTCATTTTTTCTATTGCACAAAAAATATTTATTTTACCAAACACTACCAACTTTTTATTTTTCAAAATTATTTTTTTCTCAAACACTAGCAATGTGTACTATTAAATACTTTCTTCAAAATCACTTTAAAAAATCACCTTCTTGAAGTAGAAGAATACTCCCTTAAACATATCTTCATCTTAAACATGTCTTCATGTCATTTTTTCTTACTCCAATTTTTCCTCCGCAAGTACCGGGGACAGAACCCCACTCTCTATCTGTCAGATTGAGATTATAGTCCAACTTACATCCTCTCAACGTACCGTCCGGTCGGGGTTGGGGTGCCATCAGGGATGGGGTGTCATCCTTTCTTACTCCAATTTTAAATGCATACTTAAGTTTGTGACTCATATATATAGAAACTCCCCAAACTCATGTTTTATAATTTCTAAAATAGACTAATCATGTATGAATAAATATTTCCTTTGCACAATTTGGGTTTTTCGGTGGTTATCTCCTCCTTAAATTGGATTATTCCGGTGTGAATATCTTCTTTGCACAGTTTTAACCGCCGATTCTTTGATGGTTATCTTCCCCTCCTATTATTTTATAGAAATTAGTTCAAATAGGATTAAAACTATGACAAAAACCTAAAATAGGACTTGCTATGTTTTTATTCCAAAGTAGGACCATATGAATCCTATTGGAAACATACCTATTTTTGTATTCCATTCTTACCCTTCCATTAAATATGAATTAAAAATAGTCAAAAGCTATAATTAAATGTTTAATTCATAATAAATTCGAAAAAAATTCAAAAACTCGTAGAAAAATAATTAAAAAGTTTATAAAATTTTTATAAAATAAAAAATTCAAAAACTTTTTTTTAAATAATTTTATTTTTAAAAAAATTAATAAAAAATAGTAAAACTCCGTAAAAACATTTAAAAAAATATGGATGCCTTTCCCACCGCCTGTACTACCTCCCAGCACCACCACCTCCGGCCGATGAAAAAAATTCCATTTTCCCAGAAAAATGCCATTTTTTCTGAAAATGCCAAAAAAGTGGCATATTTCTCTTTTCGAATGCCAACATTTTCATTTTTTCCTGCAATAAATATGGCATTCGTAATGAACTTGGAATTTTTTCCCCTTGGTGACTGGAGGTGGTGGTGCTGAGGCGGCGGCGAATTTTTTTGAGTTTTTATTTGTTTTTTAATTTTTTTTTAATTTTTTTAATTTTTTTAAAAAAAAAAATTAATTAAATTTTTAATATCGAAATGTTTTTCTTAATTTTTTAGTATTTTTTACGAATTTTTATTATATTTTATTATTTTATTGTGAATTAAAACATTTTAATAGCTATAAGGGTATAATTGTCCAAGGTACACATAATTAGTCCTATGCAAACATAGTTTATTTTTTGGTCATATTTGTGTGTTGAGGGTAAATCCCGTAGATCCGAAAGCCCAACACGAACTTTGGATATATCAGGAATGACACATAATCAAAGCGTGTAAAAAATATAAGATCTGAACTAACTAACACTCAAAAGCTCACTTGTATTAACTAACCAATCTGATTACAAGGAATTTCCCGATCGGTAGGTCGGAAACTTTGCTTTAATACGAGAAATAAGAGCAATGATGTTATTCTAGAGCCTGAGTATTGAAATGGTAACCCTTACAATGACTTGAAACTTCCTATTTATACTAATGGAGAGCATGGGCTGCCCTATGCTGATTGGCCATTGTTCCACCGACTTGGTCATCCATGCTTCCACTTGCTGATGTCACAATCTGGCATTAATTGCACCTGGCCACTTGTCGGTTGGCCGTTGCTCGAACGGGATGTTGGGCTATGCTGAAGATGCTGTCAAATTGGCCCAAGTATGATATATAGTCCGAACCCCGTTCGGTATGTCTTCTTACTGGGCCAACCCTTATTTGGGCCGACTCTCGTTCGGTATTAATTCTACCTTGACTATCTTATCATAGCGTGATGGGCCCGTTGCTTGGACCGGGTATCTTGGGCCTTCCGGACCTGGTTATTGGGCCTCTGGATCAATATCCCAACACAAGCCCCCCACTTCCGATGTCTCGAACGATAGTGCGTGCATTAGGAAGTATGAATATCAATGTTGTAATACTCCGAATGGCGAATCAGTTCCCCATGCTGCGATTTGACGGCTGCCGCTTCATTTCCCCATATTCATCATGGTAACCGTCGTTTAGTCTTTTCATGAGACACGTGTTTAGCTTAAATGCTTCTAGTGACGTGTCGCTCCCTGATTGGTTCTTGATACGGCGGTTTCAAGGCTATAAATTAGCCTTTATCTTCTCAAATCCGGGTTTCGATTCTGCAATTCTCTGCACCTTGTTGATTTCTGAGATTTCTCGCAGCCTTCGTCGTTCAGGTATTCTCCCTCCCTTGCTTCCTCGCGTCATCCCTGATTCGGTCGAGATGAATTCCCAACAACGTTCTGATTCGGAAATGGCTTCTCAAGGGGAGGACCGTGATGTGGAGATTATCACCGTCCCTTTTGATGAAGGATCCAAGGCAACAACGGCGGAAGTTAGGGCGGAGACAGGCGACTCTTCTAGTAGTTCTTCTTCCTCCAGTGAAGATTCCGACGATACCAAATCCGAGGACGAATTAGCCTCCATGGCGGCCGGACGTCCCAACGATTTCCCTCGCCATACCCTTGACCTAAAACTGATTAGGGAGAGGCGGCAAAAACCGACCTCCCATAATAGGGCCGAAATTCCGGCCCTTATCCCTGACCCGGTGGATTTCCGTTTGCAAGCTGGGCTTCACCCAATGCGTCATAGGCCTGGAATGACTATAGTTCATTTTGACTCGATTAGGGCCGGCCTTAGGTTTCCGCTACACCCCTTTTTTATTTCATTTTTTAATTTCTACGAAATTGTACCGGCCCAAATTATGCCGAAATCCTATCGGGCAATGGCGGGTTTTATTTGCCGTTGTAAAGATGCCGGTGCCCGACCAACCCTAGAACTCTTCCATCAATTTTTCAAGGTTGCCCCCCAACAAACCCACGGCTATCTGGCCACTAGTGCCCGAACGGGACATATTCTGTTCAAGGGAAACCCAACTTCAATCAAAGGGTGGAAAGACCGGGTTTTCTTCGTGTTTGTCCCGGACGGCCTAATTTCCCGCAAATGGAATGCCTTCCCCCGCAAGACTCCTGATCCAGTCCTCACTGAAGAAATTTACAAGGACGTGTTTGCTGTGGAGAAGGATAAATGCATGGACATCATGAGTTATCTGACTCCCGATCTACTTGTCAAAGTCGGGATAGGTACTGCCCGTTCTCTTGGGTTTACTTGTTTTGAGAAACCAAGTGCCATGGTCCGGGCGGTCCTTCCCGTGCGAGAAACGTTCTTTTGTTCTTTTTTCTAGTTTCTCACACGCTAAGGCCGCTCGATACTAATATTGTCCTTTGTTGTTTTTCAGCACCAAACCCAGATCTACCCATGGACGATAGCAGAGTTATTGCAGCCAGTGGGGCCGGTAAACGGAAGAAGTCCAGGAAGAATCCCCAACCTATTCCCTCTATTGCTCCTGCCCAGGATGCTGGGTCTTTTCAACCGCTTCCAGAGCCACAGCCGATACAGCAGGTTCATCAGGATCAATTCGATGCCATGCTGGTCGACAATCGGTTTGGCTCTGACCAACTG